GGTATGTGGCAATTTCATCCCAATGCATCTAGTTAATGGGTTTTTATATAGGTTAAATTTGGAGGATATCAGTCCACATGGAAATATTAAAAAAAAAAAAAAGATTAAAAAGTATCCCAGTACTTTTCTGTTTGATTAGTTTTATCCTCCCTTCCCCATCAAAAAACAAGCAACAAAAACAAAAACACCTTGTTATTTGCACTCTCTGTGCATTAAGGTGGTTTTTGTCATTATTCTTGGATTAAATATGGGGACCCAGATTTCTCATTCTAGGTAGTTTTTGAACTGCCTGGAGTAAATATGATGATTTTCCCGATAGAAGTTTTGTCCAGTACGTACTCTGGTTAACTCATTGTAAGAGTACTCAAACTTTCACTTTAGTTTTGTTTAGCATTCCAGCTACTAAAAACATTGTTTCAAATTACAAGCATGGAGGGCATCATAATTACAGGTATATTGAAAGCAAATGCATTTAACATTTATATCCTCCACTGTCAGATTTTGTTACAACAAAATATTTGTTACATTGGAAATTCACCATTAGAATATTGACTGCATGTTGGGTTTTAGGAGTTGAAAAATAATTGTTAAAATTTTTCCATTTCACATTTTTGTTTTTCAAGGAGGCAATATCACAAAGATAGACATGTATTTTCTGGAATTTGAAAAAATGAAAGCTTCATATAAAAAAAATCTCTAATTTTCAGGCTAGAATAGTGTTTTTAAAGAACGTTTGTGCCAGGGCAGCCATTTTAAATAAGATATGTATATATAATCTTTAAAGAAGATTTTAGATATATATGTTATGTAAGATAATATATATTATGTATATAGTATACATATAATAGGTTGCACTCACAGCTAAATTAATTTAATGACATCATGTTGGTACAATCATGTTTAACTTTTAGCATTAATTCTACTTTCATTGAATGTACCTATCTAAAATGAAGACAAGTGTTTCCTTTGTACAAGAATTGTTTTGACAGACAGCTACAGAAGATAGAGAAATCTTTCAATACATCTGGTTGGTACTTTTTACTATACAAAATCCCTATTACTAGGAAGGAATTGAAAAAAGGGGAGTGTACATTTCATATAAGATGTAAAAATTGATACTAGAATCATAAAAATAAATTGATCATAATAATATATGGAATGGAGGGAAGATATAGAGATCCCTCACCATTGTAATTTTTGTAGAAGACCAAATAATGTTCAGTCCAGGTAACTTTAAATGGAACCTATCTTTAAGGTATACCCAAGGCTCAGAAAAGAAAATGACAAGGCAAATAGTAAGAAATCAATGTCCTGGATCCAATACACTTGCAAATTAAAAATTTCTGCATGTCTCCATCATGAATGACAAGTAGTATTTAGAAAGTGTCATATCATGCTTAAGAATATATTCACCATATCACTCATCCACCCCCCTTTCTAAGAAGATAGACATCCTTCACTTCCACTTTAAAAATATCACTTCCATCTTAATAACTCTCGCATTCTTAACATTTGGGTTTTCTGCAATATTTGCATGTATCTCCCCCCTTTCTTAGAGGTTTAATTATATCCAACCTCACGTTGATGGAAGTTTCTTTATATTATCTTTATACTGCAAACATTTTCATAAGATATTTATTATGAAATGAGAAGAAAATAATTATTTTAGGAATTATTATTTTCTCTAAAGATACTTTAATCTCTTTAGGAAATATTAATTTGGATTTAGTCTTTTCCTAAATTTGCTTTTTTTCCCATTTTTCTTTCCCTCACTTACTCTGTTCACTGCAATTCACATTCTTTCTCCTGTTTTAACACGTTGAAATTGTTCTTTGTTTTCCCATTGTCTCCTTCCATTCTTACCAGTTTCAATTTAAGCTTGAGAAAAGATAGAAAGAAGAAATCTCAAAGATTACAGAGACTTCTTCAAAACAAAACTTTTATGTTTGTGGAATACAAAGAAACATGGATTTCAGTTCATTCTTCTTTAAGTAAAGGAAGATTAAAATTTTGACATACACATGATTGCCATTTTTAAATGGCTTTAGAGACATATACATTTAAATGATTATAACAGCATGAACTTTAATTGTTTGAAAATATGTTTCCCCATCTTATCAGACTCAGGAATTTAAATGAGACTAGTTTTGGGTTTCTCAATCCCTTTTATTTTCAGAAAATTTGACAATTTAAAATATACTTCCTTTTAAGTCTTAATCCCTATCAAGCAATACTTTGATATGATATGACATTGTTATATGACACATTGGTTGATCCTAAGTGAATATGATTTATCCCTCACATTTTGCTGTTAAGAGTTACAAAGATGTTTCCTTTTTTCAATGTGATGAAATCTAATAAGAACTGACATGTACATTAGCTTAACTCTGTATCAAAATCAATATAAACCAAGAAAATAAACAACATAGAATTAGAAGGACAAGTGCATGTGTAGATCAAACACAAGCAAATGCCTCAAAATATTCTTCTGTTTAAAAAAAAGAATGTTTGAGCTTATGCTCAAAAAAATTAAAAACAAGGAGCAACACAGGTAGAAGGTAATACAACCATTTCTATCTAGTTCACACAGTTTAAGAAGTCACCCATTACCCAATATATATTTGGAGAACCTGAAAGTGATTTCTCATTTTCTGGCATGAAGCTAGCTCCTGCACCACAAAACACACCTGTGTAATCCACATGCCTATTTTATTCCTCAAGGACAATTGACATAAGCCAGTGCAGAAAACTACATCTCATTAACCTCTTTCTTGAGTTTATATTCCCATATCATCTGTTTCAGCATTTCACTGAGGAAAGTTTGTCATAATGCAGCAGCACTTTCTTTTTTAACTTTAAACAAGATTTCTCTTTTTTTCCCCTTTTTTTCAAAATAAGACCCACCCTTTTTACTTTTGATAGATAACTGGGACAATTTTAGCTCCTTCCTAACAGTTAGGAAAGTTGTGTTAAATATACGTAATAGTGGCAAAGTGTTGGTCTACGACTATTTTTACTTGTGCTATCTTATAATAGTACTTTTTATACTGATATGATGATATATGACACTATTTTAGTTCAGGAAAAAGTAACAATTCTTTTCCATATGCCCTTTTTATATCTTAGATGTCCCTGTCCCTCACAGAACTAAATTTGCATCAAATTGTTATCTTTTAAGATATGTAGTTTTCTATCTAAGGAGAAAATCGGAGGTCTGTATGTTTACCTTTTTATGATATATATAATTCTCTTCAGGTATTCATTCTAATCATTGCAGTGACAACTCTTTCCCTCATAAATACATCCAAAATCACTGAGGACTTAGTTCTAGATGAGGTCAAATTTGCAGAGATTGGGCACTTAATCAGAAAAAGCCCAAGAGCAGGAGTGTGCAGTGCCATTATATTCTGCTAGCTCACAGGGCTGAAAAGCTTCATTCCGTTCTTCTGCTCTGGTCCAACTTCAAAGATTCTTCCTAAGAAAGGTTGAGAGCTGATTGTTCCAGATCAAAGACATCATCATTTCAAGTTAGAGCTATATGCTTCCATTTTATCAGTATAGTTTTCAACTATTCCACACCAACTTCAAGGCAAGTTAAGACAAGTTTAGAAGCTATGTGGTTAGGTGGCAATGTTATGTTTAAAAGATTATCACTCAGTTAATGTCAAATTTTCTAAAGGAACTAATATTAGTCTCACCACTGGTAAAGGAAATGTGTGAGCACATTATAAAGATCATAATCTGGTTGCCAACAGCAGATTGGATAGAAAGACTACAATTCATTCTCCTGTTCTCTCCTATAATGAAGCAATAATTTTCAGTCAATTCATAATTCGCTTCATGTGAACACAGTCACTGAATCTCTCAATGCAACATTTTGCCTATTTACCTGACATTGGGATCCAGGATCCTTTCTATCTTTGTTACTTCTTTTTTTTTTTTTTTTTTTTTTCTAATTAAACATCACTGACAACAACAGCAAACCAAAATATTATCAGTCAATACGAATATATATATGTATATATGCATATAAAGCCTAGATCCATGATACTCCTGATTTTACTCTAGGGAGTTAACCATTCCAATGCCAGCGGCCCAAATATTCATCTACCTCCCCCCACCTTTTTTTTCATTCGTGCAACTGTTGTCAAAGATTGTCAAACTTGCACAGGGATTCCTGGGTTTCCAGATCAAAAGTTTACACAATCTAGGTTTATTAACATTCCTACCTCCTCTCTCCTCGGCTCCCCATATACATTCCCATTTAAACTTCTACCATTCATCAGCTATTTTGAAACAAACAAACAAGCAAAAAAAACAATGGCAAAACGCCAATGGTGGGTAAACAACGTCATCTGGTGCCATGAGCTGTGCCACAGACCTTCAGAATCAAGAAAGTCAAGTTCAAGCAGGTGCCTGAGCCCAAAAGCGCCCTGAAAGCCTAAGCCTCTGCGCTGATGACTGGAATCTCACTTGAGTCTGCCTCAGAAGGGGCTACAGAAACGAAAGGGGCTTTAGTGGGCGCTTTCCCCCGTCCACACACCCTGGGTGCAGCAGGTAGGGAAGTTAACCTCGAGCTAACTTGACGGAGCACACACAACGCGGAGAAGCCGGAGCCTGCAAAAGCTAAAAGCTTGAGACTCCGCGCCTACGGAAGTCTTGGAAAAGCGAATTCTGATTCCAGCATCTGCAGCGCTTGGGTGCGCGGGCAGAAGCGCGCAGTCAAGTCCAAACGGTCCCAGTGGGGGACAAAATAAGGGCTGGTAAATGGCCAAAGAAAAAAGCTTGGTGGGGAGGAGGAAGGAAGCCGAGGGCTCTTGCACCTGGTTCAGAAATCGCCCACCGCACCTCTCACCCCATCGAGGCCGGAGCTCAGTGGCCAGCCAGTCCCGGGGAGCGGGGCCACAAGGACTTAAGTTTCACACTCACTTATCTACAAGCATCGCCCATCAGGAAAGCCGAGGAAAAAAGGGGACGCCAGGAGGGAGTTATTTCCTTACCTCGGTCTGCTCCCACGGTCAGCACCTGGGCGACAGGCAATAATCCCGAGAGAGTGAGTAAGGCGAGGAGGAACTCGGACATTGTGGTCGCTCGGTAAGGAAGCCTGCGCTGGAGACTGCTCCGCGTCGCCCTCGGCCCGGCGGCGGCGGCGGCTCGGAGCCCCGAATCGAGCAGCGTCATTTACAAATGTCACTGGAAATTCTTCAGCTCAATGAGCCCAGCCAGTCCGCCTTCTCCTGCCTGGAGCAGGATGTGGAAGGTGTACGGATGCGCGCGTGGGGGAGAGAGAGAGTGTGTGTGAGCGCCAGCGAGCCGCTCCTGTGTCTTGACTTTTCAATGCAGGGTACGTCTGATCTTACATCACGCAAAGAGGGGCAGTGAGAGATGCCAGCGGATGGGAATTCACTGATTAATCACCGAATCCACCACACACCCCTTCGTCGTCCACATAAATCACATCTATTACTTAGTAAGAAGCATTTAACACAACAGGAAAATACCACCGCGAACTGAGAGCACCACAAATCACAATTATTTCAGTCTCCTTGAAGGGAAAGTAACTCCAAAGCTGGTTCTGTAGGGATTTGGGTCTTGAGAGAAGGGGGAGACTTCTGCATTGGGCTGAGCCAGCCAAGCGCCTAGGAAGCTCCGCATTTAACAGCCAGCTCGGAATTCGCAGCTACAGCGCTGGGATGCTTCTCTCGGCAAAGCAGATTTGGTCCCTTCCCTCCCCGGAAGCTTCCTTCCCGGTAAGGAAGGACAAGCTAAGTAACTGAGCTTCTCTTAAAAAAAAAATGGTTTCATCTGCTCAACACACATACGCAAAGCTTTTTGAATTGCTCTTTTAACTTTTATGCTGAGTAGCACCTGGGGACAAAGATGCAAAATATAGTGACTCAGCAGAAACAAAACCCAAAACAATCCCCAAAGTCATTACCCCTTGCATAAGAAGGGAAAGTGAATGGAAAGGAGTCCCTACGCAGGGAATCATAGAGCAAAGGATTGGCACTTTGTTTTGTTGCCGTGGATTTCTCTCTTTAAAAGGGTTCCTCAAACCATTTTAAACATGTGTTGGGGATTTTTTTTTTTTTTTACTGTTTTTGCTTTGTTTTTCTTTTTCCACATAGTACAATTATAGTTTAAAAACTTTACCAAACCATCTGAGGCATGAACATGAATCACTGGAATTAAAAAAAAAAAAAAAAAAAAAAGTTGTTTATATGACCACTTGAGTTTTTCAATATGATCGCTCAAAAACCTAAAATTTTAGTTAGCTATTCAGAAATGGCTAACGAGTTAAAATTCAGAAATCTTAATAGTTGAAGGCTTATTTTTTCCTTGTAACATCCATAATTCTTGCCTAAGAGCTAAGGTTGAAAAATGTTTCATATTTGATATTTTGAAACTTGAAATGGATGTAAGGAAAACTATAAGAAAAGAATAAAACCAAGGAACAGAATGATTGAAAAGCAAAGGAAAGATACCCTAAACACTCTGTACTGTTTACTGGTTGAAATAATACAGATGAATGCCAGCACCATGAGCTGAATTACCCAAAACATATTTGGAGGCTCCTTAGAAGCCATTAAAATTAGACTGGATCAAAGAACACAAAGGTGACTCTAAAGGAAATTGCCAAGAATATGTGAAATTTGCCATTCTATACTTACACTGTGATTATAAAATGTCCTTTATATCATTTTTGCCATACTGTAAATTTTAAATTTGATATTCCCTTGTATATCAAACCATTTAGTGTCTAAAAAGATGACTCCTTGCACCTTTAAAAGTGTATGTTTTCTTTTCCTCTAAAGTTGTTATGTGGGTAATTTCACCTAGTCATTTTTACTTTTCACAAAAAGATATACCATATAGGAAATATAAAAAGGTATTTTTCCTATTTTACTTCATACTAAAAATTCACAAACTTTGGACTGAGTGGCAGGGTTCAAAGAATATGGAGCAAGAGTAGAGGAGGAAGGGTAAATTTAGAATGATGCCCAAAGTAACAAATATTTCTTTCTCGAGTGTCCACAGACATCTGCATTGCATGAAATATTTATCCTTTCTTTGGGATGAAGTAAGGAGGTGTTTTTCTGACATGATCCCATTCGGTCAACTAGGAGGTCAGCTATTAGGAAATCTATATCCACTTAAGTCTTGGCAGTAAAATGAGGAGTGTTCACAAACCATGCTAAGGACATCCAGATTCTGCTTCTTCTACACTATTACCACCAATTACCTCCCATCTCAAAATTGCAAAGTAGAAGAGAAAGTAGCCAGGAACAGAACAACCAAAGATTTACCATGTACTCAAGTTCTATGACGGAAAATCAGTGACTCATTCACTTCTGTGATATATGTAGCAACCCTGAATTCCACTGTCAACTCTTAAAAGGGAAAAGTTACGAAAGATAATCAGAGCAGTGAATACCCAGAAGATTTTGTATTCTAATGTATATTCTAAATATGCTACATTCTAAATATGTAGTGCCTCCTAATAATAAAACTACTAAGTAAATTAGGCAGAGTAACAGCCACATGATCTCTTTTACATCATCTGCTTTACTTTTTAACTGCCCTGAATAGAAGAAAATCAAGGATGCATTGTCTACACATTGTGATCAGAATAACAGCAAAAAACAAAATTCCTTTTTAGTGATCACCAATCAAATTGCCATATGTGAATGACACATGACTCAAAATTGTGGTGTAAGATTGTGGAAGTTAGCATACAAAAAAAGTAAGTTTAGCATAACAATGAAAGGTGATGACTCGTATTTAACATCAACTATGAATTATTCTCAATTCTATCTATCAAATAAAATTTGGGGCTTATTTTAGGAATGTGAGTAGATGTTATTAACAAAGACCTAAATGGTATAAAAACTCTTCATAGTAATTGGGTAGAAGAATGGATGCTTAAATATGTTTCAGTGGTCAAGTGGACATTACACATGCATTTAGATGTATGTCAAGCAGATTTTTTAAGACAAAACTTATAATAAGGAATAGTTTCATATCACAAGGCCATAATAGTACATAATAAATATATTCAAAATTAAGATTAGTAGATACAGTTATTATTTATAATCGATACATGGTCTAAAACTAAAATAAGGCCAATGTCAAAATAAAGTTGTCTCACATCAAATCACTTGCATGTTGTAGTTCTTCACTGAAAATGACCAACTCGGGGCACCTGGGTGGCTCAGTCATTAAGTATGTGCCTTCAGTTCAGGTCATGATCCTAGTCCTAGGATGGAGCCCCACATGGAGCTCCTCATCACACTCCCTACTCAGCAGAAAGCCTGCTTCTCCCTCTCCCACTCTCCCTGGCTGTGTTCCCTCTCTCACTGTGTCTCCCTCTGTCAAATAAATAAATAAATCTTAAAAAAAAAAAAAAAAGAAAGAAAGAAAGAGAAAGAAAGAAAATGACCAACTCATCAAAAGAGATAGTTTTCATGAGAATCTAATGAGGTTGATAAAAGTGTAGACCAAATTAGAGTTTTAAAATTAAATATTTTTTCCAGGTTTCGAGTGACCATCGAATATAATGGCCTATAAATAAAAGGGAAACATAAGTATATTTCTCTATGAAATGCTTTTATTTCCCATCATATATACTTCAGTGAAAACGAAAATTAATAAAGTATATTATTAGTGAAGAGAGATTAGCAAGAGTTACTATTCAAATTCTGTTTGTTTCTATTGCCCATTATAATTTCTTCATTCTAATCAGAGTTATTAACACTGACAAGTTAAATAAATTAATTCATCAAACTATAGCATGTTATGAAATCTTTCATTGAGATAAATTAAACAAAGTAGAACCAATCATTCTTACTTTCTGGTCTAAAACAACACACGAATATTAATTATCAGTCAGCAGTAATCTTATACTTCCCAATTAGAGCTATGCTTTGTGTACATGTGATCAAACATCAGATTCCATTTCTGCTAACTTGATTATTTTCTTTGTGCTGTTGGTTTGTTTTGTTTTTACCATAGATAATAACAAGTCATGCACTACATGAAAGTCATGTTAGGGGGAGGGTGCACGTCTGAACAAACCAAGCCCGACAATCTGTCTCATGAAGTGATGTGTGTAAAGGAGAGTTGGCCAGAGAACCAGGTTGCTAGGATTTTCTGCAGCTATCATTCCAAGGGCGGCTAGAGTGCTTACCCTGCCTTTCCACACAGAAAAGTTGCCAGGCAGCTGCAGACACAGGATGAGAAGGAAAAGGAAGGCTGGGGAGGGGGGGTATACTGAGAACTGTTAAAGAAACATTATTAGTGCTTAAAATTGAAACAAAGTTACTTACTCTGGACAAAGCCACTAAGAAAAAAGAACTTTCAATTCATTTTATCTCTCAAACTACAGCATTTCAATACACATTTTTAATTGCTTTCCTTCAAAAGTGAGTTATACCTGTTTGATAGCATGCTGTTTCGACTGAGACCTGGGGATTCAGTCCAGATAAATAAGATTTGGGTGCAACTTTAATTCCTACCATTTGACAAGTATGGGAAAGTATGTATAACTGAGAAGAAAGTGAAATGTGATGCAAGTACCCACTTAAACCTGGAAAGTAAAAATATTTCCAGACAAATTAAGTTTTTCTCTTTGCATAAGCCTCAACTTATCTTTACTGTCATTATCTATAAACATATTAAGATGTACATATTGCAGTGAAAAGCATAACTGATACTCAACTATAAGGTTCACAGGATAAATAATAAAAAAAAGTGTTTACTATTGATTCAATTGTTTTACACGTTCTCTGACTCTTGTTTGACAAACTTTTGACAATAGGAAGGAAAGGAAAGGAGTTTTTGCTAACTCAGAAAACTTTAATCAGGCAACAACTGACTTCCAAAATAATAATAATATAGATTCAAGATACAAATCCTATGTATCCTATCCTTTTCGGGTACGTTTTTAGAAAGCACAATCAGCAATACTGCAATCCACATATGTGGGGAGCAGGGGAATACAAAAAGACCAAAAGTTCATTAAACCCTTTTCACTCTAATTGTATGGAAATAGCTCTGAGTTTCAGGTTAGCTGCTGGTTGCAAGGCTTGTTGATGTCAGTGCCTTTTGACCTAAGGTGCATTTGACCTGTACATCTCCATCTCCAGCTGCCAAAAATAGAACTGGTGTTTCGTGCTGGGGTT